GATTTCTGTTTGGACTTCCTATCCCCCTTTAATACTTTTGCAGATTTCTCAACCAGTTTGACAGAAAGAAGCTAGATATTGTGTTTATCTTGCAGGATAACTAAACTGAACTAACGAAAGGGTTAGTTCATCCTTCAACTTTTGTGTTTGTTTTTTCCCCCCTGGAAAAACTAAGCAAAATTAATAACAGCTGGTAGAGAAATTGGACTAATCATTCCAGTAAGCACTATGTGTGCCACTGGCTGTAACTTTAATTTTCCAAGCAGCAGAGAGATTAAGCAAACAAAGCTGCAGCTATTCAGACTGTCTCATTAGGAAAGAGAAGAGTCATTTGTTCAGAAACACACTGAACCTCTACAGCAGTCGCTATCTGCAGTGAAATGGGATACATTTTGATTTTTCTTTGAAACTTGCCTATTCTGATTCATAATTTCCATGCACAGAGAGTGACAAAGTGCTGACAGAGGATGTAGGAAGCAGTGGGCTAATGCTGCCAGCTTCAGGCTTACCACATGCATGGCTGCAGTACCTGACTGCTTACTGAAAAGGTTTTAGTAGTGCCAACAATAATCTGGGACTCCTTCTTCCTTATTGTAATAGCCATGATGTATGCATTTCTCATTAGGGCTGCTGGGAGCATGTGAGGAGGAGCCTGACAGGAGTGACAGTTCTATCTGCTCATGGCTCAGTACAGCATCCTTCATCTTCCCAACACAGCACTGGTTAGGATTTTCTGCCACAAAAGTGTGACTGAAAAGGAGTCCTAAGGAATTGGTACTCCTTGCAAACTAACCTCCAAACACAAAGAATGATCTAGGAGACTTAAGGAAAAAATGAACATAGACTTTTTTTTTATCCAACAGAAACTGTTTTCAGTTAAGCAAGCAACCCTACAGAACAACAGGGACTTGCACTATCAAGGAAAGGTGCCTGAAAGCCAGTTCAAAAGATGAACCTGCATTAAGACCATATTTCTTTCTCAAGAAAAAAGCTGCAATTTATGAATTTTATTTTAAAGAGCAAATTCTTTTTATCATCCACTTGGGACAGACACTATGACAATATTTAACCGATAGCCTTTTTTTTCCCCTTCTTTGTGGTATCCCAGCATACTGCTCCTCTAGACAATCTCTAGATTTGTAGGTTTTTTTAAAGACACTGAAGCCAGTGGTAAAATTTCCTGAAAAGTAATAGAATGCCTTTCCAAATTACTGTATATCACATCTTTGTGGATTAGACTTCTGTATGAAATACCATATTTGACTGACTTTTATGATTTACTCATGTTTATTTTGTATTATCTATGCAAAACAATACTGTGACAAAAATATGGTAATTAAATTATTCTGGAAATATATTTTCTCTTAAGATGCCAAAACGGTGGGATATATGTTAACAAAGTTAACTTGCAAAAAAAAATCAAATACAGTAACTAAGCAGAATCAACACATGCTTTTATTTGCATATAAAATTTCATATGAAGGTATCGATGTACAGTACTATCCCATAGGCTGTAAGAGAGGCTAAGAAATCAGTGAAAGAATAGCTATGTGCAGTGTTCACACAAGTTGCCACTCTCAGGACATCCCCAAAGAAAATACTGAATTAAAACAGTAACAAGAAATTGTTCAGGATTTCTGTTGTTATAGTGTCCCTTTTATACCGTAGAAAACAAAAGCATTCGATTTCCTTTGGGCCAGGGCTGCTAAAATCTACAGTTTGTGTCAAAAAGGAGATTCTGTTTTTCCTTGAAAAGGAATCTCTCCTTTCATGAAGAAGTCACAAGTTACGAGGGCTGGGCATCACAGGAATGGAGAAGAGGTATCTACCTCACTCTAGCAAATTCAATGATACCAGCTCTAAATAGCCTGGAGCAATGTGGCAAGTCAAACAGCAAGAGATGCTCAGTCCAACCTGCAAATCTAATAGTAGTGTTATTAAAACATCTAACTGTTTACTGCTCTTCTGCAGAGCTAGTGCATTATGCTATACACACCTGTACAAAGCCTTAGCTACACATATATAAAATAAAACTTTGGCTATGAGTAACTCTAATATTGGTGTTGGAAAGCATTTCCAAGACTGAAATTGTCTTTTGTCCTACTTTATGGATTCTGCTTATACAGTGATAATTTGTGCTACTAAAGAAGAGACATTACAGACAATTGTAAAAGTGTATGAGTTATATCCTTTTAATTCTCATTATTTTACTTCCCAATATGCATTGAAATCCAATGCTTATCAGAGATGCTTTCCAAAGCTGTTTCAGTGCAATTCAGTACTGAAATGCAGCATCATTTACTTTTTTAGGAACAAAAAACAGCTGCAATAATCCCCAATGACAGGCTGTAAAAAGATAGTAAGAGAGACAATACAATTACATTACCAGAAGTCTGGAAAAGGTTGAGCTTCCAGCAGGGTCAAGAATGATCATTTATTGTAGTATCACATATATTAGCTCGTAAGAGTATCCCCCATCAGTTAGCAACTAAAAATATGGTAGAAATGCCCAGCCCTAGCCCCAAGGCTACCTTACTTTCAAATGCAGCAAAACAAGAAAATATTGTTTAAAGTTAAGGCACAGCCCTGGGACCAAAGACCTGCAGCTTTTTTAATTTATATATCTTTACGTATTTTATACTTTTCTTGAATCTTCCATAAACGAGCTCTATGGTGACACTGAATATATTACAGGAGAAAAAAATGTACAAGGAATATGTATACACAATAATCATTCTCTCACCAAGAGTTTCCAAATACAGCAACACCATCCTGACAAGGATGATGTTATAATAGGAACTGATAATTTACAATTAACATTACAGTATGTACATTACAATAAATACATGGTTGTAAACAGAGACAAACAAGACTGTATTACAGGTAAGGTCATTTGGTGAGAAAAATGCATGGCACAGAAAATAAATAATGCATTTGAAAGAACTGTCAAAGCTTTCTATAAAATCTCATTCAAGTTTTTTAAACTTCTGAATCCTATTTGTTCTGTCAATATTCTTTCATTATCATTTTTAATGACACAAAACAATTTAAGAATTTAAATACAGCATTACTGAGTACAGCAACTTGCAAGCTAAAGTGTACTGTTATAAACAAGGTGGTTTTTCTTTTTTCCTCCCACTCATTACTCACCCACTGCATTTTCTTATGGCAAAATATTCACAACACATAAAGCCACTCATAAATTGTATTGTTTTAAAGCAGTGTACAATGCTAAAACACACTTTGGCAAAAGAGGAAAAAAAAAAAAAGATTGTACAGTGCATTATATCCCCAACTCTAAGAAATTATATCATTTTCTATGATTTGATTGTCCACGTGTGTAGGTGTATATCTCACAATATGGTCTTATGTCTATTTACTTTCAATTAGTGCAGATACAAAACCTTCCAGGTCCTACTGGTTATTCTGGAATTTATATTGCTTTTCCATTACTGAGGTTCCAGGCACTCTAGGGGACTGAAAGGATTTTCAGATGGATCAGATTCAGGAAGAAATAATGAAGAAAGAAGATTACAAAAAAACCCCAAAGTATGAAAGAAGCCCCATGAATTATCTTCATTCTTTTTCCTCCTTCAGCATCTTCTGTGCTAAGGCCTTGTGAGGGCTAATGGCAGAGAAAACTATGACCTGGACATAGAAGAATGCAAAATGGATTTAACAGCTCAATTATTAATATTTTAAAAGAGACTTTTATTCTAGATCTCTCACACTTTAAAACCCTTGTATTCATATCTGCAAATTTGCTACAGAGTGAATCCAAAGGGAAAATAATGGCTGTTGCTATCATCTTTTGTTAAGAGATTATCTTGATATCGTAACTTTAAGTGTTGGAGTTAGTTAGCCTCCATATGCAACTATTTCCCATCTTCTACACTCAAAACTACAATTTTAATCAAGAGTAAAGCATAGGAAATAAAATTTTTTCTTCTTTCATGTGAGGAAGCAACAGGACCAGAAAATGACAAATAAGAATTCCTACCTCCCTTTAACTTCCCAAGTTACAGAAATTTGGTACCAATCAAATTGGAAAGCGGGATCCTTTAGCACAAGCTGGATAAAGCTAAAAAATATTTAAGCTTGAAAAAATATGGTGTAAACTACAACTCTGATGATGCTCATTTACTTAAAAACATAAAAACACAAGACCAGCATGGCTGTTTTTGCAACAAAGACATGAAAAAAAAAATTATTATTTTTATATTGTACACATCTCAGATTAGCAAATATTCCATACATTGTAATAGCCTGTTCTGATTTAGCAGTTTGTGTCTCCTAGCTCAAAATAGTCTGAAAACCCATGTTTCAGGGGAAAAAATTTAATAGTATAGCAAGAGAGCTGCTTTTGTACTGATGACAATTCATTACTCTTTTTACAGGCTCAGGTCCTGTAAATCTTAATGTTAGTAGTTGTAGTTCACATCAACAGGACCACTTCTTGTAGTAAGACAGAACTGGCAGGATCACGCCACTATGAGGGCAAAAGCACTATATAAGTCCACTAATTCGTTTGGTAAAATTGTGATTAAAAACAAATAAACAAACAAACAAAAAGCTATTATACTAAAAAATGTAATGCAAAGGATATTCATGGAACTCACTAATAAAGAAAATAGACTTTTACAACTCAATAATATCATGAGATTCTAAGGTGAAAAAAAACCACCAGAACCAAACCAACCAAACTACCAAACCCAAAACAAACAAACAAACAAAACCCCCAAAAACCCCTAAAAACAAACAAACAAACAAAAAACCCCAAAACAAAACCAAAACAAAAAAAAAACAACCACCAACCAAACAAAAAATTAACCAAAACAAAACCCTCATTAAACCAAAACCAACCAACCAAAAAAACCCAAACAAAGAAACCCCTAGAAGTATTGTCCAGTGTAGCACAGATTTGTACTGAAAACTTGCAAGTTCCTCTTTGGAAAAAAATAACCAGTGGCAGATGAAAATGTTTTTGGTTTTGGTTTTGGTTTTTAATATAATACCTCGGTACATTTAATAAAAGTAAGATCTACAAAAGATCTCTCTTTCACGTATTATACAAAATGGAGAGATTAGTGCAACCCACTGGGTCACACTTTTTTCAGTCACGTCTCAGGAAGACTTGAAATTAGAAAATTATGCAATTTTCACAGCTCATCTTCCTGGTGGTAACAGAATCATGTGGTGTCCCATCATTTACATGAACTTGTTTTCCAGTAGGAACCTCAATTTGTTTTCTGTCTGTTTCCTCTCAAGATGAACATTATCCAATGCTTTGCTTGCAAAATACAATGAATTCCAAAACTATCAAAGCACACCAACAGGTGGTACTCCTCTGAAAATATTTGCTTTATTTAATTGAATCTGCCAAATGGAGAGCTTATTAAAATGTAGTTTATGGATGTTCTCCCCCTGCTTCCTGATGCCACTGAGGTGAAAATTCTGGTTACAATATTCCTGAGTGCCAAACTGAGTCATCAACGTCAGTTTTGATCAACAATCGTCCTGGCAGATGACAGCAAGTTGTGACCATGGTCGTAGTATATGACACACTTTGGAAACCATTACCTAAATAATAATAATAAAAAAATATCCAAAACAAAACAAACTCAGAGAGAAAGAGGAAAAGAAAGGGAGAGAGTAAGAGAGAAAGAGACTGCATCTTCATTGTTACGTGTCAGGAGAATGATCTTCTACCACACAGGGTTCTGCTTGGTTCTCCTCCTCTTCTACTTCTTCCCCTACTTGCTCATCAAGAGGAATTTCAGTGGATTCTGAATCCTGGGTGCAAAGAGTCTTGGAGTCACTGAAGCTAGTGTCTTCTTCTACTTGACTTCCACTGTCCTTTTCAGTGTCTGACTCACCATCTTCCTCCAGTGTTAGTTCAAACTGGAATTTTTCAGTTTGACCTTGCCTTCCCTCTTCCTGGTCATCAGGTGCAGGAGAGGGACTTCGAGGGATTGTGCTCTGGTACCATTCTCGATTGTCCTCCAGTGTATCTAGGATATCCTGGGCATCTGGGTGAACAAGATCTGCCCACGTCTCCCACAAAGGATGAACAATGTAGTCTATAAAACCCACCTGTTTCAAATAATAAAAAAATAAAATTATTCATAAATCCATAAATAATTATGCTTACAAGTAATGCAAAGTATGAGAAAGAGAATGCTATTAAGAGACACTATATGCATCACCCTTAAAGCTGGCTGAAAGGAAACTGTAACAGTTTATGTAGTAAATAAAGTCTTCTACATTTCAGATGTCTGATTCAGGATATTGGATAAGGGCTTGGAAAGGATTTGTTTTCAAATGAACTGTTCATTCCAAACAACTGTACTGCATCTAGTGAGCCAAACAGCTGCTTTATATTTAATTCTCTTTTTGAAGGAAACCCTAATGAGCAGCTGTACAATAATCTCTTTTGATGCGTATGCTGCTTTGCAAGTCATAACAGTGATGGAATCCCTTCAGCAAACACACTGACATGCACTATGTTTTCACAGTAAAAAATCTCAGTTCCCTGCACACTTACTAGACAGGAGCTGAATTAATTAACTCAGTGGAAAAAAAGGAAATAGTGTATTGAGATATTATTCAAAACATCGCTATGTACCATCCTTTTCTGTCAAAGTGTTTATGTGACTACTCAAATCAATTACCTGTGATTTTTCTACAGATGCATTGTGCTTATCACACATGGGACTTATCTCCATTCCCCTCTCTCTCTCCCGATCTCCCTGACGGAAAAATTCCTCCATTATTCTGTCTGTCCATTGGCGGTAGAGATGGAGTGGCTTGGTTGGATTGCTTAGATCTGCACAGTGCACCATATTCTGAAGAACCTGAAACAGATTGAACCTGTGGTGTCATTACACTTCAGAACTGCATCTCCTTTTCCATTTACACTTCTGATGACTGTGAAACCATCTTGAAAATGTAGTAAAGGATTTATTCTAAACAGCAAAACTGTATGTGCTTGGGTGTTTTTCACACTTGCAGTAATAGCCATAAATTACCTTGCTTCTGCTGCTTCTGCCTGTATAAAGGCCAGGAAATCTTTCTGAGAAAGACAATCACATGTTGATAATTTGAAGGGAAGGCCAAAATCTCATTCAGACCAGAACCACTCTAGCACTTCTTTACTTTCTGAGAGAGTCACTTCAATGATGCGATAGTTAGGAAACGGAATTAGCAAGTCATGGTGTGAGAGCACACAGCTTATCTAATTCATGCTGGAAAATGGGGAAGCCAATGTTATTAGGTATGTAATTAATACAAGTGACCAATTGCAGATGAATTTTCTTACCTGAATCCTGTCTGAATAGTTATCAAGAAGGAGGACACCAGAACTGGTCACTTTTTTAGTTTCAACCATAGTTTTTAAATCAGCCAATAGATTCATATGCTTAGACATATCTGTTGCAAGCACCTTGAAAGAAACAAACGAAAAATGAACACTATGTAAATTATTCTGTGGTTTTTGGGTTAGTTTGTTTTGGTGGGGGTTTTTTTTGGGTTTTTTTTTTTTTTTTTTAAACCTTTGAACATTTAAACAAACAGTTTTTTCAGGAACCCATAATTTCTGTGTCTGAATACATCCTAAAAGTCTGACCTATGTAAGTAGTGTCCATAGTAGTAGGTTTCCCTTTTAGTTATTTTAAGAATATGATAAAATGATTGTTCATAATTTCAAAATGATCTGGTCAGCCTAGATGCACCATCAATTCAGTACCCAATTTCTTACTGTGATGGGGGAATGACACACGTGTCAGTACAAAACCAGCTTGAAACAGAATATACCTTCTAAAAATGTTATTCAATGATTACTGAAATTAAAGGAACCCACTATACATGTTTGGATATGACATGATAAAACTTCAAACTTTTACTTCATTGTTTATATGTGTAATGACATCTAATTTATCATAATATGCTTCTGCACTTTATTATTCAATTTACTAGCTCTATGGAAAATGGAGTCTCAAGCAGAACTCACAATATCAATGACCATTTTCCTCAATGACTGCCTCTGTTTTTTGGTCAAATTCTGGAAAATGTCGCAATTTTCTTCTTGCAGCAGCTTGAAACCCACAGCTAGGTGATGATTCTCCAGTACTGATGAGTCATTGTACATCAAGGCGAGTTCAGAATCTGCAATAATGATTGCCGAGCAGAATGTTACCAAAGCCTGTGCTTCTACCAAATCCTTTAAGGTTTTTTTTTCAAATTCATTTACATTCATAATAAGATTTACAGATAATCTTTTAGAAACAGTCTTCCTGTAGTTCACACAGTATCAAAAGTTGCAGAATTAATGACTGAGCATCTTAACAGATCAAGGCAAAGCATGTTGAGGAAAAGAAAGAAAATGCTTTGCAGTGATGCATGTACATGTGCCTCGAGTGGCAAGTTAGAAAAAAAAAAAAAACAAGAAGGTGATTTTCTGAATACATTTTCATATTTGCATGTGGTCACTTGGAAAATATTACATGCATGACATATGCATAAACATACCTCAACTAAAGCACACTCTGATGTGTTCTCATGCCTCCCTCCAACGTAACAACTAAAATTCTATTGTTAGTCAAGTTCCAGCTTTCCAGCATTCAGACCTGGGAATACACAGCTGAGGCTTTGCTGCAGGTCTGCTGCAGCAAGCATAGATCTTAGTTTTCAAATCATTTCTTTCTGCAGTTAGCTAAGACACTCAGATGCCTACCAAACTAGGCCTACAGTCATTAGTCCATTGCAACTGGGTATGTTGAGAGGAGGTTTGTTAAGACGGTAACAGCTACGCCTCTGGTCTTGTAACATCATATGGCTTGAAAATGCATGCGGTGGCCTTGCCTGCAGCCTCAGACTCGAGGCATGGTCAGTGCCTAATGCTGTTTGTACTGCTGCCTTTTCCAACAGAAGTATTCTTAACTCTCACACCCCATATGGCTGTGAGAATTATGTACACCTTCACATACCTGTGCTAAGGCACACCGATAAGGTCTACATTTGTCTGCTTAGACCTGCTGAACAGAAAGCTCTGACAAACAAAAGCAGTTACTAAAACTTTCTGCACGGTTTTAGCTTCTACTCAGGAATAGCACGCAGTCAGCTTGCTACTCAGGAATACCACACAGTCAGCTTGCATATGCTTTAAGACAGCTTGTGAATAAATCTGTCATAAAAAACCTTAATACTTTCTATGCAATCATACTTGTCATGTGCAATATTAACTTCTATTTACTACAGTTGTTCTATCCTAAGTCTAACCATACATCAGTCTGTTCTACTTTTTTCCTCTTTGTTCCTTTTAAGGCAGCTATGTTTTAAAATGCCTCTGGCTCAATGGGAGGCCTCTAAAATATCTCATCTCCAGATTTCATTAATCTTATTATCTATTCTCCTGCTGTCTTTTTCTCCTGTCTTGAATAAATGGATCCGCTGAATCAGGAAACTCTTCCTCTGTCTTTTCTTATCCCAATGGCAGCAAAACTATAACAGCAGAAGTAGCAAAAAAGCAAGTTTGTAAGATGATCTCTCATTTTTCACAGAACACATACAAAGCTTGCCTACTTATTTTTGTTACAAAGGTGACTTTCCTTTTAAAAGCCTTCTGATGAACCACAACTGCAAAACGCTCAACACTGTCAAAATACTTTGGAAGGGCCAGAGCTACACACACAGAGCTTAAATGTACTCAGCTTTGAAATGGAAGTGAAAATGGAAGAAATTTCCCCCTTGGTAACCTCTGTAACACATTATAAGCTTCAAGAATATTTTTATGGAAAGACAGAGTTACAGTGATCAAATAAGCATCTCTGCTGATGCTAATGCAATTCATATTTTTTTATTCTTTAATGGCATTCAAGAAGATCAGTTTCTTTGACAATTCTGTAATAGATTTTAAATAGGAAAGAATATTCAGAAAAATCATTATACTAATCATAAAGAATAAGCCGAAAATATGATAAATAAGTACATCCTTTAAATAACTAAGTCTATTATGGGTTTTTTTAATGTATTCTTATACTTTGTGAAATCTTAGTACATAATAAACTTCATTAGAAAACAAAACTAGAGGTTAGGAAAATTTTGAATTTGAGAGACCTACATTAGATGGTCTTTTTCTGTCTCTGTCCCTACAATGTATTCCCTGTACACAGAACAATTTAAAAGGGACAAAATGTTTTTGTTTCTTCCATCTTGGCAACAGCTGTTCCAATTAGTGACTGACAGGTGATTGACACAGGAACCTCCTAAATCAAAAGCTGAATTGAAAAAAAACCAAGGTATTTCTTTTAAGTACCAGCATCAAGAATGACTGATATCTTAGCTGAATTTAAACCGTCTGCCTGAAAGTGAAATCTTTATGTACCACTACTCTCCTTTCAACTAGTCAGTCATCCCATTTAAACCTGAACAACTCTGTTATTTTCTCATAGAACCTCAGAGGCACTAATATATCCTGATACTCAATTTCAGATTAAGCAAGCAAAGAAAAACTTTACTTACATATGCCCACTCTTAAGAATTCAGGTATTATACATTGTTTTGTGCCCAAAGCTTGATTCACTCTCTAGCACCTATGTTGCTGAACTGCACTGGTTACCAATAAAGCACAAAAAAAAAAAAATCAAGAGTCAATCCCAATCCTCCTCCATGCAGATGAGTCATCAAATTCCATTTCATTATAGGGTGGCCCTCAGGCCATTAAGGCAAACAAAACTGGATGTAGACTAAACTGGAATTAATGTCTTATTTAAATATTCAGCAGCAATAAGTCAGAGAAGGAGCTCCCTTCTTAAAACTGTACTGCTGATTTGAGGTCCTTCTATTTTAGCACCAGTGCAATATATTTACCCATGTGCAAAAGTGACAGTATCTGTAAACGTGCAACCAGATGGTTATGTTTCCATTTCTGTTGCTTTTTCTTCTTCTATGGTTGGACTGCTAGCATTATTTCAACTCTAAACTTCTGGGTCAATTATCATAAAAGAAGTCAGACAGCAAAAGAAATAACAGTATGATGGAACTTGTACCGGCCTACGAAGTGCTGTAAAAGTGACATATAATAGTGATAATGTGATAATAGTGACATATGCCAATGAAATCAAAGCAGGTTATACTGGGGCAACAAGCCATTCAGTAAATGTGTCACAGTCGGGTTCAATGAAGTTAACAGTGTCTTTCTTTCAGTGGAAGACTAAAAATGGAGAGAGGTTCAACAATGCTGCAGAGAACAGCTTTGAGAAATGCAGAAGTACACTGGGTTTCAAATTTGGAGATGACATTAGGGTCCAAAAAAGAAAAAAACAGATTTGCCAGTCTTCAGGAACAAGCCTGAGAAAATTCAGTCCACTAGGCATGAGAGATGAAAAGCCAAGTACAGCATCCAAGCAGAGAGAGAGATGGGCCTGACAGTTAGTTTGCAAAAAAGAAACTTTTTTTCTGAATTTCTATCGTTGGTCGTATGATATGCTTCCAATAAAAACACGTTGTCTTTCTTTTTAAATTTTTTTTTTCAATCTCCATTCTTCTCCTACAATTTTATTTATTTAATGTAAATTAACTATTTTCTGGGAGAGACCACATCCAATAAATTGAAACAATGTGAGGTTTACAGTTCTTAGTAATTCTCGCTAGAGGGTACTATGTAAATTATTTCTAAAGTTACAAGAAATGCAAAATAACATCTAGGTTAAAATACAATACCTCTCTATTTACTGAAAAAAGTTACAGACAGAAGCAAACAAGGAATTAACTGTGTATTTTTCAGGTGCTAAGTGCAGATCTTGCAGCAAATTTTTGAGAAAACCACTGAACATCAGACTTACTTGTGTTGATAAGAAACTGGTTTGAAACCCCAGGATGATCTACATCATGTATTGCACTGGCAAAAATTGCTGCAAGAATCTCCAAATCAGTGAACACTGCCTAGAAATTCATGAAACAGAAATGACAATCACTGATCAGTGAAAAAGGGTTTTCAATAAAAGAAAAAGATGTGATATTTTCTGAACAATATTTACAGGTAAATAAACTTTGATCCTCACAAAATGTCTGTAAAAGAAAAGAACTCATGAAAGAAATGTTAAGATTTCTTTAAAAAATATTGCTGAAACTGAGATTTAGTTTAGAAGACTCTCAGTATGTGCTCTTCTCTCATGACTACCATTTTTCCTCCTCAGTGTAGTTTACCTCTAATGCTGGGGTTGATAGTAGCACATGGGTTGACTGAACAACATCTGCAGCATGTATGTTATTGTGATATGCCACATCCGCATGGTAATGGTCTTCAAGGGTCATCAAGTAAGTTATTAAAGTATCTACTGGAATCTTAAAAGTTTTTAACAAGTCCCGTTCCTTTAAAAGCAAAAGAAAAACAATTAGATTACAAAGCACAGAAAAATCTCCACGACAAGCAAAAAGCCTCATGGCTGCTCCTACTTGCCTGAAAAATAGTGTGCATGATGACAGTCAACGGTCTGTTTCCAGATAATTCTGCTACTCTGAAAACCTGAAGGCCCCATTTGTTCACATCTTCTAGTTCCTAAAGCAGAATCAAGCAGTAAACAAGTTGAAACCTAGCACACAAATTCCAGCAATTTTTAACTGAAACAACTGCAAACAGTATTCATGAAGATTCAAACCTTGGCACTAAGAAAGTTACATGCTAAAGTTTGGAATGGCTAGACTCTGCTGCTGCTACTGATATTGCAATATTGGAATTTGTATCTACTAACCTTTCAGATTTTAATTCAAGGAGTAGGAAGGAGTACATCTTCAGTGGATAGCTCCAGAGGGAAACATACTACAGTATCTTGAATGAGTTTAACCAACACACTTTGCTATCTCACTGCCTATTGACTACAAAGTTCAGTGAGGAGAAAACCTCCAGAGATGCTACATTTCTGCTGCTCTCTCCTCAGAAACACTCTTCCAATAAGATTCCTGAAAATGTAAGGCTAGGCGCATTTTACAATGCAAAACTCGATAAAAATTGCCTTCATTCCAATTTTCTATTATTGCCAAGTAGTTAGCTGTTTGTGCAAAAACATCATAGGAAATTTCACTAAAAACAACCCCACTAAGGATGTACTTAAAATGATACAACTAAAAATAGGAAGGATAACTCTAGTGCTATATACCAGATGTGTGTTCTTAAAAATCAGGGTTGTTATGTATTTTCATTCCTGTGACAATATATGGTATATTAACTCTTCATTTTTCAGACACTATTTACAAATAAGCAGTTTTATTAATGCATATACAAATGCTAATTTACATTCCATCTCCAGATGAAATCCTGTTCATGCTGAAATTAACCCTTATGGCCTGATTCCAATTTAACTTGCTATTATTCCACTTCAGCAAATTTGGATTATTTCATAAGACTTATTTCAGAGCTTGGTGCTACAGTTTAAAATCAATGTTTATAAGCAGAGGATGGAATCATACTGACAAGTCCATGCTCTATTTTAATTCAATGGTTTAGATTCAAGAATTTATATATTCTCTACCTTGGCAAGGACATCTTCTTGGTCTGTTTTAACTCCAAATCTGGGAATACTGGAATTAGTTAGGCTAGAGCTGTGCATGAGTTTTTTGACTCCGCTGATCTGGGACATTGGTCTCTTCTTTTTCTCTTTCTCTTTCTGTGTTGGAGAAGGGATTTCAACTTCATGTTGTTTGTCTTCAAAAGAATTAATAAAAAGATAATAATTATGAAAAGACTTACAATTATTATAAAATTCACTATTGAGTTGCATTGTATGGATACTGTAATTCTTAATAAAACCTTTTTAATGTTAGGAGACTTTGCAAGAGATACTTTATATCAAGAGTGGTGAAAACATGAAAAGATAAATATAGACCTATACTTCATTACAAGCAGATCTCTATTACTCAAATTGCCTTATTATTTCTGGACTAGCTTTAAAAGCAACTTGTCTCTGTCTGATTACCACTTCTCCCATACTCCTAGTGCTGTAGAAAGGGTCAGTCTTTAAGTTATAAAAGTGTTGTTACAACTCAACATGAATCCACTTTGCAAGAAAATTTAATTTTTTTTCTTTTCCAGGAAAAATACTCTCTGAAATTGTATTTCGAAAGCAATCCAAACACTGTCCTCATGTAAATCTTTAAAAACTTTTTCAGGACTCAAAGGATCTAATATTTGGGGACTGGTCCTGCCTACTAAGGACCACAAGACTTAGAACTTGGAAAGCCTTTTGTCAGCTGCATCTCCTGCACTTTGTAGAGGCAGTTCATGTCATCAACGCAGTGTGTTTCTGTACCTCCAAACCAGATTTAATAATATTGACAAAAGGACTGCTTTACTAAAACCTTGGGGGGTTTTTTGTGGCTTTTGTCTCTGTAGCAGTATCAGTAGCATCCCTTCATATAACTTTAGACAAGGATTAAACCAATAGTAAAGAATATTTAGGCAACTGCAAGATGTTTGCTGTAGAAGCAATATGGGGTTGCGGAGCACTGAAGACATCTGTGGTCCCCAAAGAAACCTAAGTTAGTTCAACAAAGGACTCTCTTGCTAAAACTGGTAGGAACTTGAATTATTTTTTGTTCCTTTTATTCATACTGTATTTCAATGCAGACTTTTAATTATTCCCTTCAAATTATCTCTTCTTAGCTAAAATATACCTCCACCTTTTCTAGCCCTCAAGTAACATACCAGTAAACCCACGAAAATCAAAAAAAGATGTTTTTAACACAGGAGGTGAGCCAAAACAAATTAAAAAACCCCTTAAACCGAAATAAATTTTAAAAATGAAAACAAGAAAATTTGGACTTTTTAAAATATGTCTGGTTTTTTTTCCTGCAATATTCCTTTTCCCTATAGTGTTTGAAACCAGATGAGGTCAGCAAGTCCATTTCTAATTACCAGCTTGTTAAGTGTTTGCTTCTTCACTTTCTTTTCTTCCTTTTTTTTTATTATCCTTTAGCAGCCACATTTAATGGACACCTAACAGACATGCCACCAAGTTTTAGCCTGCAGCGCCAAGTTACCCGTTTGCGCCGATTCTTCACCATTCTCCTGGTATGGAGAAAAGGGGAGGTGGAGCACTGTAGCCCTCATCTGGTACAAACTAACAGCAGATGAGGAGCAATGACTCGTGTTTGTGCTTTGATGTTTATGGTTTTGGTCATATGCACAAAGTTTAGATCCATCAAAGAGAGGTCTGTAAGCTGAGCTGTCAGACTAACTCAAGTGGAAGGAAGTGTCTGTCTGACTGACTTCAGATCTCCAGAGAAATTAGATGGAGCTTTTGCTTTTGTAACTTTGAGCACACAGGTTGTGCCCATCTGAACATTCAGAGAAGATAGCTTGCCATTTTGACCCTGTTTGTGCTATGCTCAATAACAGGTTCTCAAACATTTTCAATTCACAGAAAACAAGTTAATGATGCTGCAAAATAAAAACCTCAGATATTATTATAAACAATGTAGGAGCCTTAATTCTTACACACAGAACATATCTGCTGTCAGTATAAACAGCTGCACACGTCATATAGCCTATGGAAAAACAGTCCTTTTTTTTAAGTATAAGAAGAACAGAAAACCTTGTTTTTTCATGGCATGTTCTAACCTACAAATGTGAGACATTCTGTAGATGTTCAGGAGATAGATTATATATTAAAAAAAAAATAAATCAGACATTAACTAATAACCAGAGTTATAGTCTCTATTTAATGAAACTAATAACTAGAATCATTATATTTTTCTGTGGAGAGAACATCTTCCCTCTTTACATAGTTGCTCACAACCTATATATTTAGATTGCATATTTTAAAAATATTCTATTTAAGCAATACCTCTGTAAATGAGGTGCTTCCCCCACTGTATTGCTCCTATGCCTACAATTTTAAGTATCCAGGTTTTTCACGCAGACGCAAAACAGTACCCACAGCTCAATAAATTAGAAGTGACTGCCTTTCCAGCCTTCTTGCTGCTCAACATCTCATGCAGAAGGCTGACAGATGCATTTCCTTACCCTGTCAAAGTAAGTCTTAAGTTTTCAAGTAAAAGCAAGCAGAAGCTGGCATCTCAGTCTTTTCAGCCTAAGTGGGTCATTCTCTCAGGCAACTGTACACTGCGACTTTCAGGGCTTCTGAAGCTGGGCAGTATTGCCTCTTCTCCATTACAGAGGTTCATCCCTTTCTCACTGTCTGTAACCCTGCTGTGCTGCAGCCCTCGGCACACTCCTGCGACCATGGGTCAACTGAACAGACACTAAGCGATTCATTCAGGACATGGTGAGAGGATAGAATGTACTTTTAAAAACTCTGCTTCTTTCAAAAAAAACCCATGAAAAGCATCAGCTATTGTATCTCACACAGAACAAGATGTATCTTAACATGTATGACTGGCACGTTGTAAAGGACTTGTTATCCTAGTTGAGATGTAATCAGCTGTGCCTCCTCTTATACGCACAGCCTTTATGAATAAATGGTGTTTTGTTCAAAGCATGTTTGAGATTGCTTTGGTATCTTTATCTTCATGTTCAAAATCAACACTATGGAATGAAGTTTTATTGATTTTCATGAATTTCAGGAAAGAAAAAAAGCCATAGAGGAGGAACCACACTCTGCAATATTGCGTTACACTTTTGTTAATGCTCACATCCCACCATGTCAGGCTCTTCAGCTGCACAAATTTTCCTGGCAAAAGTCTGTTCAGATGCTGACTTAGTCATTCATCTACCCACGCATGTGCAGGCAGGCAATACCAAAGTATATTAACTGCATACTATGAGGTTTTGTGAGATTACTTGTTCTTGCGTGTTTCTAACACGCAGAAACCTCTGCTGCAATGCCTGTAAGGAAAATACAGGGGAAGAACTCTTTTTAACATATAATTAATTAATTATATATTACTTCCTTAATATGGTAGCAATATAGTAGTTGTAATGTTACAGGAAAAAATATATATGAATATTTATCTGTAATTACATACACAGGGAAATCACATACACACCCCAACTGAGCTATGAGGAAATGGATCTAACCTGATCTCTCTGTAAAACCTCTGAACAATGGGATGCTAAATGCAGTTTCTGAAAGCAGAAATTAATACGGAAAGCCACTTGCTTTTAAGCTCTAACACAGCCCAGAGAGATATAAAAACTATCCACAAGGCAAAAAAGTTAACTCTTCATAGTCTTACCTAAGAATGTGTTTGATATGTATTCTGAGACCTGATTGCCTGACCTGCTCATTTCAGATAGGTGAGTTAGCTCCCGGTTGAGCATCCTTTTAAACTGGAAAACAAAACAAAAAAAAAGTGTAAAGTCAGTGTTTAAGATGTAGTTTAGGATAAGAAAATGCAGTCAACTTATAACATGATGTTATGAATACATACTACAGTAAGGTAACTTTGAAAGCAGAAATCAACATAACATCAGTATACCTGCCAACTTATTCATGGGTTGGACAACATCACTCATCGTTCTTAACCACCTAAAATACACCACAGGGATTCAGTGTTCTACCAGAAGCTGAAAAGTCTAAGACATACGTATATACAAAAATAATGTTATTGTCCTTCCAGTTTTTTGGAAACTAAATACAAAGGTATTTATGTAGTTCTCTACTAGCTTTCTCATCATATTTGTAAATTAAGCTATTTGTGCATTTTTTGCAATCCATTTGTTAATATTTCAATTTTACCTTACCTCTCCTTATTAATCTACTCAAATATATTTGCCAGCATTGCTCAAAACAATGAAAATATCATAATGACTTCCTACAAGCCAATATGAACAGATGTAAGTTATATTGTCTCTGACCTAAAATTATTATACTTAATAAGCCAAATGATTTGACTTCAGAAAGCTATATTCATCTCTGCGAAATACTGGGGTAGAAAATACCCACCTGTGGAAACACCTTCCATTTCCCTCTAAATTAGCAATTCATTCTAGGCACTCCAAAGGGTAGCAGTGGATACTAATATCCCATGAAACACATAATTGATTAGGTACTCATCACTGAGCCTCTCTTGATTCCTTCTAGACTCCAGGGTGAAATGATATACTATGTCATTATGCTTGACAGATTAATTGCGTAATACAGCTTTTGCTATCTTAGATGCATTTTCACTGACTATAGCTCTGCCATGATATTGTCAACAAACAGAACTGAGCAATACTATTAACAATTCAAACAACTCTTGCCAATGCAATCTAGCATGCATCTGTCACTACTAAATTTTGGCTCTTATTGTGCCACCCTTTCATTTTGTTGTTAGATTTCTCAGTCATCTCTTAACAAAGCCAAATGATTTGTGCCATTTTCAGAATCTTTCACCCTATTCACCCAGTTATGAATATTTCTTATATATAGTAATAGCTATCCTTACTATATATACCTATAAACATTCATCTATGTTGAAAACTGGTAATTTTTAATTTATTCTTCTTCAAAGAATAAACCACTGGATTAAACATCAACCACTGCCTTTCCATTCTGCCAGAATTATCAAAGAAGCCCTCTCTTCAAAGAGGTCTTGCATAGTGAAAGGCATTATTTTCTTCACAATATCTTTTTAAGTCACCAATTACTGTATTGCTCACACTGTATGAAATAAAAATCACCTTTACTATAACACTAACCATTAGCCAATACATTTTCCAGCCATCTTGACATGCCATCAGCTTAGGAAGTTCCAGAGCTACAAAGACTGAATCCTACTTTACTCACAAGCCAAAGGCTCAGCTTTGATCTCAGATATAGCTGTGTGCTAGCAAGTGCTCAACATGTCTAAAAATTAGGACCATACTGCAAATACAGCTATACACACTGAGCTACAGATCTATACATTCTGGACAAAAACAATGTCAGCCTCTTTAGCAATGTTTAATGTTTGTCACCAATGTCAAATGTTGAAAAAAGAAGCAAGTTTGCTAAGCAGTAAAATGACTCGTCCAAAAACCCCAAGACCACGTTTGAAAGTCTATCTTTATACTTTTAACACACGTAAGTCATGCTTGCACACTTTTTCTTCTGTTCCCATGAAGGTGAGAAATGGAAACTGAAGAACTAATGGAATAGCTTGTCTCCAGATGGCATTCAGAAACTGCAGCTTCTGTATTTATTGTACAGATATGCACAACAAATGGAAGGTACTTTTCTGATGCTGTGTTCCCCATTACTTTTGCATAAACCCTCATTTTCCCACCTTTCATCACCCCACAAGTCAGGAGAACATAAGAACTCAACCATCTGCATGAGAACTGCAGAACAGTCTGTGTTACTGCTGAACATGAGTATAGAGCAAAGTAAGTCCCTCAGCTTCTGCAAGGCCCTCCTGCTAAGACCAAATTCAACTGGAGAAGCTTTTGGCTTTGAAGAGCTGTAGCTGCGTGATTTCCCCAGTCTTTCATGTATTGCTGACACCACAGCAACAAAACTTTAACTGACTTTTTTTTGCGATCATCGGGACTAAGCAGAAGTTTAGAGAACTGTTGATTTTCTCATTATATGACAAAGCCTTATAATCCTCATCACCAGTGTATCAGATAAAGCTGAAGACTGTATGCAGACCACAGTTTCTGATGCAGAACAATAATTGTCTTTGAGAACATTATAAAACCAGAAAACCAAACCAAAACCATAAGAGATAAAACAGTGATCAAGATATTCAGGCATTTTGTTGGTTATACCCTGTTTCAGTATATCTGCATGTTACTTAATCCTCAGATTAATAACTTGGCTTTTGGTGAAAAAAAAAAATCCTTTTTCTCAAAAAAAAATCCCTCAAACCAAACCAACCCCCCCACACACTTTTTCCTGATTTTACCTATTTCTCAAAGATTTCATTGGGTCCCAATGCACCCATAGTTGCTCCTTCAAAGATCCACATATTTATACAACCCTGCACAATTACTTTATAATAAAATTCTGCCTCTCACATGGCTCCCACAAGATCCCATTGCCAATCAGAGAAGTTTGTTACATCCATGAGCCAACACTTTTTCCGTCATCCAACAGACACCCCTAAGTGCTTGAAAACTGGCTAGACTTCATACTCATAATTTGTCCTTCTGGAAACAACACTTTACACATTACTCAAAACAATTCAAACAGGACCTGAAAACATCTTGCCCCTAATAGTAGTAAATCTTAAGGATACTATTTTAAATAAGAATTTTAAAAATCTGAATGCCATATAGTTTCCTAGTTGATGAAAATAAATCATAATTACCAAAACTCTTGTTATTAATAAACACTTACACCATACACTTCAATTATGATATTGTCAGCTCAGCATGGGGAGGAAGCAGAGATTTTTGACTGATCTATGCATATATTGTATTCCTCCTCAGACAGAAAGATTTTCCCATGTTAGGCACTTTTAGGTTGGAAAAATGACACATATCCTTTTGGAATACTACAATCCTTGACTGTAGTCTCAGAAATTCCCCCTAGAAATGGAAAGGGTATAAAATGTGCATTAATATACAGTTCTGCATTGCTGAATACTGATGTCCCAGCACCAAAGCCATAAAAAATTGTCTAAAAAAATCCTAAAAATATTCTCTTAAGCAGAATTTGTAAAATTTCATTTGTTTCTATTGATTTTAGTGATTTTAATCTCAGCTGGGGTGAATGGTGGGGGGAGAGGATAAGAAGTGCAGAACCCTCAGCACAAATACAGACAGAGCATTCAAATAACTTTACAGGTCTCTCCAAAGTGACAAAAGTACATATGCAATTTTATCTCCAATTAAAAACCTAGGAAGTCTGCTGGAGTGAAAACTAATACATGAGAATAAAAGTGCACACATTGATGATAATGATAATGAGAACAACATCCCAATTAGTGTTGACCTCTTAAGAACAGGTCTGTAGTTTAGGTCCTTCTGGGCTGAAGCTCAGTGTGTGTATCTCTGCTTATATATATATTACTGTTGTCAACCTAGGATAAACATACATTTTTTAAAAAAAATAAGGTACACTTCTGATGGCAGGAAGACAGGCAGAAAAAGAAAAACAGCAAGTACTGGCAGTAACCATTTTCCCATATGGCAGCACAAGCACTGATACATTTTTGGGAAGACTTTACACATACAGTATAAAGAAATTATCAATTCCAAGATCTAACTAGAGTCAATACATGGTCATGAAAGAGTTTGGGTTGCATGCTTAATATATATATGGGTTATTGTTTGCACTTAAGAACATTTTACAAATTTTGAATAAAGTTCTTGACTCAACGACAAAAAGCTTAAGTCAAAGAAGCAGCCAGCAGCTAGCTGTATTGAGAAAAGAAGCACAAAGAACCACTCTCAGGGTAGACACCCTGTTCTGGCAGGGTCTCTTCCACACACACTTCCTGTTCCTCAAAGGAAACCTGCAGCATCCGAAGGACTGTGAAGAGGCTGCCAGCACCACAGCCTCTGGTACCAGTACTGAAAGTGAAGTTAGGGCTACTCGGCAGTCCATGGACCTAAAAGCTCCATCTTGTCCTTCAGTTTGAGCATTAATCAAGCTCCAACTCCAGTGGAGGCTGAAACAAAAATGCTCCAGATCAACTGAAGACTTTCATTGCCCTGGTTCCCAAAACCCACATGGCCACAGATTCCAGTTTCAGCCTTTCTGGCTGCCTCTTTTCTAGGTAACATTTGTAAAAGCTTACAGGAATAGAATACATCCATGGAATGTTCACTCAATATTTGGAACATTCAACTTACCTGACTGCATTTTGTTTCTGAAACAAAATTTTTTTTAAAAGATGTTTAACTCAAAAAAGAATAAAAATATATTTTACTGGATTTGAAAAGTCTTGTATTCTACAATAAAACAAACAAGGGATTTAAAGTAGGTCAGCCTTACAAATTAATCTAAAGCTTCTGTCTATATTGCTTATCAATGCAAAATTATCTTGGATTTTAGCAGTATTCCTAATACATGAACAAAATTGTTAATAGCTTCAGTTTTTGGTTAAAGAACTGCATGTGTTTAACTAATATGAAGGTCAGATACTGGTTTTTATACAAAAGCTATGAGAGGCCCACATCTCTAGGGATGGGATTGTGATAGTGGCGCTATCAAGAGAAAATACTCAACAAAGATGGAGGATAAATACTCCACATGATAACCATTATCTGAAATAAAATTCACAGGAGATAAAGCACAGCCCAAAGCATACCAAAATATATACATAATAAGGGATGTAAATGTGTACAATGATCTCTGATTTAACACTTTAAATGATTGTTTTGAATGTCATAAAAACCAGATCACCTTTTTTTCTCAA